ACAGTGAGAAGTGAACCCACCGAAAGAAGCACTGAAGTTTCTGCCCCTTTGGGGTTCTTGAAGGTAACATATGCAATCTGAGACCTCTCGTTGTCCCTTGAATAAAACAAAATTAACTTTCACCATCCTGTTCAATTAATTAGTAACCCGAAACGAGAAAGAAAAGAAAACCAACCCTTGTATTTCAATGTATTCGATTTCACCGGAGAAGCAAAAGAATTCCTTTAAATCATTCTCCGTTGCACCCAGGGAGACATTGTTAACTTTCACTGTCCTTATCTGCCATTGGGAACAAAACCAACTCAGACTCAGAGAATACATATTACCATGGAAATGCAGTAAAGAAATAATGACCAAATTGTTTTCCAAAAACACTCAAACTAAAAAGAAACTTTAGTACCCAAAAAAAAAAACATGTAGAAGAAGGCACAATAAACATCAAAGAAGAGAATTGGGGGGGAGGGGTAGGGATCAAATATTCAAAACCACTTCTGATTTGGTAACGATATTTAAGCAAGCACATAAACAAATTTGGATCAGAATTCAGAAGGATAGTTATTAAAATAGAACAAAATAAATTGATAAACGAACGAATTAGAGTGAGTGGAGAACTGACCTCCATCAAATACAAGGCCTGTTTGGGTATGATGTGCACTGTGCAAAGAACAAATCTGTCTCAACAAGGAAGAAGAAAGAAACAGAGAAGGAGAGCAGAGGGAAGGCGGTTATTTGGGATCAGAGACAACCGCCGATGTCAAATGCATTGAATGGGCTGAAAACTAGGCCCAATCCAATATTATAAATTGGGCTTATTATCCATGACAAGCCCACTAACTAGCAAAGCCTTCAACGGCAGTACGACAGTTGTTGTGATTGTGAGATTGTCATATGGATGGACGTTAGCAACTTGGGTTGGTTTGGGACGGGAAGGGAAAGCATAGTTTGACCTTTCTAGTTTCAAGTTTGAAGTACAGGTGAAATTGAATTGTGATTCGTGGAGGAGGAGACACTTTCAAGGAACGTTTCAACCAACGAAACTTCCCTCTTGTCTTTGTTGTCTTCACCCACCAAACACCATAAGCCAAGCAACCCAAGGAAGGAACACTAGCAGAAACAGTCTTCCTTCTTCATCAATCAATCCGCACAACACAAGGAACAAAGAGAAAGAAAGAATGAGTTTCCAAGATCTTGAGGCTGCTACTCCGCAGCAACCACGACAACCCATTTACTCGAATTCAATTCAGAAGCAAAGACAACGAGCAGCATATCAATATCAAGATCAAGATCAAAGTCAAAATCTTTACGAGCCTTCTCAGGCTGTGTCTGCTGGGATTTTCCAAATCAATACCGCCGTCTCCTCCTTTTTCCGCCTAGTCAATTCCCTCGGCACCCCTAGAGACACCCTTCAACTCCGTGACAAGCTGTGAGCTTTTCTCTTCTTTCCCTCTCTCTCTCTCTTTTTATTTTATATTATGAATGATTAATTCGACTTCTAGTTCCTTTTCCCTGTTTATTTTGTTCTATTTCAGCCTTTGGCGCCTTAACTGATTGATTGTACATTGAGCTATAAGTGCTCGAATTGTCTGTTTTCTACATTGTCGGTGGGTTTTTATATATTTGGGAAATAACATATATTTGAGAGAAAGTCCGCCTATTGAAATTTGTTGTCTGGTTTGCGCTGTTCCAGCTAATGCATATTATATATTTTGGCAAATGCGGATTGTTTGGTTGCGACATGGAAACTTGACTACTTTTTACTGGCAGGCATAAGTCACGGGCACATATTGGGGAGTTGGTGAAAGATACTTCAGCCAAACTTAAGCAAGCCAGTGAAAATGATCAGCATGCCCAAGTTAGTGTAAGTGCATATGCAAGTGTACTTCTCTAAATTATATAGGAGTTCAATATTTTCACTACTCCTAACTTTGTGTATGGGGCATTCTGAGACATTTCCACCCCCTGAATCGAAACAAGAAAAGAAAAAGGGAAAATTAACTACTCTCAGTGTAGTGTGTGTGGTGATCTGGTTCTATTCTTCCGCTCTATATATTTTTATTGGCTTCATATGGTTGTGATTCCTTTATCATTTCTGAATGAATTAGCCATGGGTTATCATATGTATATATCCAGTGTATGTTTCCTCTTGTGGTCAGTGGAGTTGGGGGTTCTCACCTTTTCAGGGACACTTTCGAAATGCAGGTTGTCAAGAAGATTGCTGATGCTAAGCTTGCAAAGGATTTCCAGGCGGTTCTTAAAGAATTTCAGAAGGCTCAGAGGCTTGCAGCTGAAAGGGAAACAACATTTGCTCCTTTTGTTCCCAAAGACGTTCTGCCATCCAGGTAAATTAGTTGATACCAAAAGGAACACAGGACACACTTTACAGAAGCATTAAATTTTCTGTAAAATGTAAACTTGTGTCTAAGTTGACATAATTGTTCTTAATGATTAAACTATAATTGCAAATGCCAGTAGTCTCCCAGAGATTGTGATAATATGTATAGGCGCTAATTATCTCTCTTTTATTTAAACCTTTTACTCATATATGCCTTTCATCATATTGTGCAGTTATCTTGCCCATGAGCAGGAGATGAGTTCAACTACGAGTTCCAAACAGCAAGCTCTTATGCTAGAATCAAGAAGGTGGGCAAACAAATATACATCCATAAATTGGCAGCTCTTTGCAGTAACTATTGAGAATGTGTTTGCAGCTTCTTGTTATGGCATGCCCGGGGGGGTTGGGGGGGTGGTGTTCGGGTGTCACAGAATTTGCCTCCAGGCCCACCACTAAACTTTGTGTAGTGGTTTTCTCAGTCTGTATTGGCTTAGTCAACCTAAATCTAACTAAGGAAGGTTTTTGAGTAATTGGGACATGCCTCTCAAATTAATTATTGCCTTTGAGGTTGAGTGCCTTGCATGATGCAATTTAGCTTCATTGATTTAAGTTATAAGATTGAATCTGTTGTATGCAGACAAGAGGTTTTACTGGCGGACAATGAGATCGCATTCAATGAAGCTATTATTGAAGAAAGGGAGCAAGGGATCCAAGAAATTCAACAACAGATCAGTGAGGTTAATGAGATTTTCAAAGATCTAGCTGTCCTGGTCCATGATCAAGGAGCTATAATCGGTTAGTCCAATGTCTGTTAGTTGTTATTCAAAAATTGAATTGGTATACGTTGAGTCATTTGGATTTTGTGTGCCGTACTTTGAATGATGCTGTACATGTGTTATTTTCAGATGATATTGGCTCTAACATTGAGAACTCTCATACCGCAACTGTGCAAGCCACCTCCCAACTTGTGAAAGCATCTAAGATCCAAAGATCTAATTCATCTCTGGTAATTTTTCCTTCAACACATGGGTTTCTTCAAACTGTCTCCCATTTTATCAGGAACACAATTTCACCTTAAGTTTAGCTGGATTGGATTGATTCATCTGTGACATGACTGACAGACTAGTGATTTAACGAAAGTTTTTTATTTGAGATATATAACTCTTAATTTTTCTTTCCTTTCCCTGAAGAAGGAATTGATGGTGTAATCATTATTTGTGCATGCAGACCTGTTTGCTGTTGGTGATTTTTGGAATCATCCTGATCATTGTCATTATAGTTGTGGTCGCTTGAGCAGTGATTTCTTGATGCTCTCAAAGTAATGATCTTCTATGTCGTTGGTGGTGTTTCCTTCCTACAACTTCAACTTCAACTTGAGCTTGAGCTTTTGGTCTAATTATGTTACCAAATGACTCACCTCTCTAGGGCTCTTGATGTGGGGGCCATCATCCTCGTATGTAAATATGCACAGTTAGTAGTATATGTGGAATCTGCAACCCTCCCTCTCTAAGCTCTCTAAGGGACGTACAGAAAACACATGTAATTATTTATTTATCAAAGTTTCGATATTCTTTGCATCTCTACTCATCTGTACACAGTATCATGATTTTTTATATCATCCAAAGAAAGTAAAAAGTAGTTGATCAAGATTTTTAGAAAATAATAAAAAATAATTGGTTTGCCTAATGATAATAATAGACCGTACAATACAACTTGCCTTTGCAAATTGCGTAGCAGGACACTTGCTTTAACAAAGAATAAGATGCTGCCTTTGTTTTATTTTCTTTCCATCTTTCTTGCGTGGTGGATGGAGAAACAATCCACCCAGGACAGGAGACAACAAATGAAAAGGAAAACCTTAAGGCGCGTTTGGACGCGTCTCGAACAGAACTAAAGTAGCCCATTCCAAGCTTCAGCCCAAGAAACTCAAGAATGGTAACAACATGAATCATCATATTTAGCCCAAGAAAAGAATAAAGAAACTAGCAATATGTCCTTTTATTTTTATTGGTTCCTGAAAGACACAGACACCAAAGTCTTGGTCTTGGATGTTACCTTACTTGAGCCTGGGAGTAGGCTACTCAGAAAGAAAGAGGGAGAGAGAAGTCAGTGGCACGAAAGCATAATAAGATTCCAAATCACCAGTAGCCCAAGTTCCCAACCCAAACCCAACGAAGCGATTCCGAGAGAGGCATGGGATTGGCAACAACCTTTTAGTTTTACAGGGGAATTCTGAAACTGCCCATTCCTATCCATCTCACCCACCCACCAAGGTAAAGCGGTCTGAGATCTCAGCTGGGTTTCTGTTTGCTATCAAATTCAAAACACTGTTTTTTGTGTGTGCACTCAAAGCTATCAAATTCTTCTTGTATTGAATGTTATTTTTATGGGGAATCAAGATGTGCTTGTTAGAATTCAATTGGTTGGTAATTTCTCTGTCTTTGCACTTTGCTCTCAGTTGGCGATGACAATTGATCTTATCCGGAAAGTTTGATGCACTGCAAGAATTGAGCTTTTCTTGGTGCCTTGTGCGTGTAACTCTCTCTCTCTCTCTCTCTCTCTCTCTCTCTCTCTCGCTGTTCTTTTTACAAGCTGTTCCAATTCATGGATTCAATTCAATTAGACCATTATACAATTTGCCAATTTGCCAATTACATTTGAGTTCATACAAAATCATGCGTTAGACTTGAATTCATCAGAAACTTCAACTCGGCATGTGTTACAATTTGCAAAGCGAATCACCCTGGACTTGATACCTGTAGGAAGAAGACGTGCATGGCTTGTGAGCCAAACCCATAAGTAATAATATGGGTTGGGGCAGAAAACGTGTGTTGAACCATCTATTTTTCTCCCACCTAATTAATATCATGTCATGTTCTTAATTCTAAATATATCTTGTTCATTCTGTTGAACTTGAAATACCCACAATCCAGTATTATCTCTTCTACACCTTCTCTGTTTTCTTGGATGGAATTAGCTTCAAGACTTTATTTATTGGTAAAATAAAAATGACATTTCTAGTTGACTCTGCAGACCACGTTTGAAGAGTCGGAAACTCTAATTTGCCCATTCATTGTCAAGGAAAGCGTCGGTTGAGGTAAATACTTCAAGTACAAAACTCTATTTCACCTGTATTCCCGTAACTGTGCATAAACATATCGGATCTGTAATGGACCTTCTGCCTTTTTTATCTTGGGAAAAAATGTCCTTGCAATTACCAGGTCAGGCTAATAACCTCTTAAGTTCAATTCTGAAGCAACCTAATGATTTTTGAAAGTTCAAAACAACTGCCCAGATGCCATTAGTAGAGGACAGAGAGTAGTTGATATCAGTCATTTTCAACTTTCTTAATTTCATATCTAACTGGATACTTGAACGTATCTTGTTGTCACTCAATGAAGATGCTAATCTTCATCAGTTTGTGGGGTTCATAGACACATCAGGCTTTCAAAACTTGTGAATTTCGTGTTGCTTTGTTTATTTATGATTTTTCAATATGGAAATTATTGTATGCCATCATTTCTCTTACAGTTGACAGAAACTACTGCATGGCTTTTGTGGCTGATGTGGCATAAATGGAAGGAGAAATTCATGTGCAAATTCTCCAAGTATATCAAATATTTGCAGGGGATTGACCGCACAATCCCAATGGTGAACCCAAAACTTTCCCGTTGTCCAACCATATCCTACAGGCCTATACAACCGTCTGACCTTGAGATCTTAGAGCAAATCCATGCTGATTTATTTCCCATTAGGTATGTAATCTCATTTGATACTTTCTCGTGGGTATGTTCTTTGCTACCATAACACAGCTTCCTCACTAAAGATTTTGTCAATCTTTCCAGGTATGAGGCTGAGTTTTTTCAAAATGTAGTCAATGGACATGATATTGTGTCATGGGCAGCTGTTGATCGAAGTCGTCCAAATGGTCAAAGTGATGAACTTATTGGATTTGTAACCGCCCGAATTGTTCTTGCCAAAGAAAGTGAGGTGGGTCCTCTATATCTCTAGCATTCTTTCTTCCTGTGTGCATCTGTAGGGAGGAACCAGCACTAATTCCCTCAACCATAAAACCATAATGGAGAAAGGATTGGATCCTAGGTCTTTGGTATCTACCAGTAGCAGATTGGTAATAAGGAAATGGTTGATTAAAAAATGTTAGTGGTTATTATTTGGTCTTTCTGTTTTAATTGAAGCCATGGAACTTGTGAGTACTAACGGAGGTTGACATTCAAGATATTGCTAGTATAAGAAAGTATAAGTTTGCTGTAATTTTCTTTTTATTGTTAAATTTCCTGAGTTACCCTCACTCTTTTTATGAACAAAACATTGGCCCTGTAGATAGGGGATCTGCTCAGTTACGAACCGTCAAAATCAGATCAGACATTAATCTACATTCTGACACTGGGAGTTGTAGAATCTTTCAGAAATCTTGGCATAGGTAAGAGTTTGTCTCTTGTTTGATATGAATTCTAAGACTTTGTTTCACTGTATTGACCATATATATAATTTGTTTCTCCTTGGACTTGCAGCTTCAGCACTTATTCGTGAGGTCATAAAATATGCCTCAAGTATTCCAACCTGCCGAGGAATTTACTTGCATGTCATTTCTTACAATAATGCGGCAATCCATTTGTACAAGAAAATGTCATTCATGTGTGTAAGAAGGTTGCAAGGCTTTTACTTGATCAATGGTCAGCATTATGATTCGTATCTGTTTGTTTACTATGTAAATGGTGGCCGATCTCCTTGTTCACCATTGTAAGTACAAGACCCTTCATTTTTGGTTGATTCTGATATTCCATATTATTTTCTGGACAATTTGATTATGGGATCATGAGATTCTGTTCTGCGGGTCATTATAGATTAGACACACTTATGGTAATTTAACAATTGATATTTGATGTTGCAGAGAGCTTGTTACAGGGACGCTGAATTTGATGAGGAATGGGCTTAAGTCTGTGTTTGCAAGGCTTCGGAAGAAGGAAGACAGGAAGGTCTCAAAATGGGGGAAATGTAAAGAAACGCATTGCCTTATATCGACTACCCAAAGCAGGAGAAACCTGACAACGGAGTGTACAGGGTATGAGTGTGTTTGATTTGTTTGTTTGTTTATATTAGAGGGCATGGAATTTGGATCGACAGACAGACAGACTGAGAGAGATGAGCCGCAAAAGTATTAATTAATTAATTAGCAATCCATTGTATTGTTATTGGTATACCTACCTACCCTATTTCTTGTGTTTAACCATGGCATAAATACCAACATATAATTACTTTTACATTACCATCTATTTTAATTTTTATGCATGGAATGGAATAAACGAAGTTGTGTTGTTGTAACTTGTACCTGTTTGTTTGTTCTTTTATATTTTATTCTTTTGTCTTTGGAATCTAATTATATATATATATATATATATATATATATATGTAACATACATACACCAAGAACAGAGCACAACGAGCTAGTAATCCTCCTCCTCCTCAACACCCCAACTCGAAATCCAAACATAAACCTTAAACCCTAAACCCATCGAGGTGCGACGTCCGATGAAGACCGAAGATCGAAGCTAGCTAGCAGCAGTGCCACCAGTCTTCAAATATTGGGGTTGCAATTGGAATTAACATTTTTAAAAACATAAATGCGAATTCACACAACTCACTAATTAACTAGCCTAGCTAACATCATTCAAATTTCAATACAAGAATCAAGATTCATTTTTTAGTTGACTACGTCTTCTCCTAACCTAACTAAATATAGAGAGCGTCTTGATCTTGAATCGAAAGGCTTTGATTGTCTGCCAGGTACAAAACTAGGTCATGTGATCTAGTCTTGTGGTGTGTCCGTTAATTAAGATAAAGAATTAAGGATTAGAGGGGGAGAGTTGCATGCATATGCATATGCATGGCCTTGATTTGTGGGGCGCCTCATCTTCTTAGGCGCGACTGCCATATATAAATAGGGTAAGGGTCAGACGCAGAAATCAAAAAGAAAAAAGAAAAAAAAAAGGAAAAGGAAAAAATTTAAATTTGAACAAAACAAAAAAGAAATGATAAAAGAACGGATATAGAGAATCCTCCTCCTCATCGTATCAAGAAAATAGAGTGAAAAGTAAGAAAATGGCTGCCTCATTGATGGGAAGTGGCCAGCGCCTTGCCGCTCTGGCGCTCTGCCTTATACTCCTCCTGGATATTACAATGCCTAGTTTGGTTTTGGCCAAGGCCAAAGGAGGAGGACATCATCGTGGCGGAGGTGGACGTGCACAAAAAGGTGGTGGGCATAAAGGAGGCGGTGGTGGACATAAAGGTGGAAAAGGTAGTGGGCCTAAGGGAGGTAGTGGGCCTAAAGGAGGTGTTGGGCCAAAAGGAGGTAGTGGGCCTAAAGGAGGTGGTGGGCCAAAAGGAGGTGGTGTAGCTCCAAATGTTCCTAATCCTAAACCTAATCCAAATCCAGTTGGCGGTGGAATTCCTAAACCTAATCCTAATCCTGTGATTCATCCTAATCCTAATCCTGTGATTCCTCCTAATCCTGTGATTCCTCCTAACCCTAATCCTAATCCTATTCCTGTGATTCCTACTAATCCTATTCCAGCTGGTAGTGCACCTGTGGGTGGCGGCGTTCCTGTTCCTGAAGCTGGGAAAGGCATCCTATACCACGGAGGGCCTCTGCTCACCGGGGACCTCAATCTCTCCATCCTATTTTACGGTCAGTTCACGGCCGAACAAAAGAACGTCGTCCGGAGTTTCCTGAGGTCCCTCGAGAACACCGAGAACGACCACATAGCCGCCGTGCACAGGTGGTGGGACATTGTCGAGGCCTACCAACTATTCACCAATAAGCCCGGCCTGGACCCCGCCGCTGCCCCACCAAGACTCCGGATCAAAGTGGGCACTCAGCAGAGTGACGACAAGTACACAGTGGGGAAGGTGTTGACCATTGACTTCATCAACTCTCTGTTCAAGAAGGCCGACTCCGGGAAGCCCAACACTCTTGTCGTACTCTTCACGGGGAGCCAAGTGACGGTGCAAGGGCTGTGCAGAGGCAAATGTTACGAGCACGGCTTGGTTGATAACAAACCCTATCTCATCGTCGGCAACCCCGAAATCGAGTGCCCCGGAGCTTGTGGCTGGCCCTTCAACAGGCTCGACTACGGCGTTTCAAACCAGGTCACCGTGAAGCCCCCCAACGGAAACGCCGGCATTGATGCCATGCTCATCAACTTCGCCTCCGGCTTGGCTGCTGCAGTCACCAACCCCTTCAATACCGGATTCTTCAAACCCGGACCCAAGGACGACCCCATCGAGGCCGGCACCGCCTGCGATAACATCTTCGGAAGTGGCGCAGTCCCTGGCCAGACAGGAAAGGTTGAGCTGGACCCCGCTTCGGGTGGATCCTACAATGCCATTGGAGAGAAGGGTACGAAGTTCATGCTCCCCTCCGTGTGGAACCCACGCACCAACAACTGCTGGACCGCCCTGTAACTGTAAGTTAACCCAAATGTACTCGTCATAAATATATAACAACAACTTAAAATCAAAATCAGTTTTCCAGTTTTACAGCAGCTCACCGGCCCCCGTGCATTCATGCAGCTGGATTGATGCGGAAAATAATCCTTATAGCAATGCTTCATCCATGTAATTTTTTCCCTCTTTGTTTATCTTTTTTGTCTCCATTGACATGACCCCTCGTCATCCTGCTATGCATGACGTCATGTCTTGTAATTTTCAGACAATGAAATTAAGATTTTGTAATCTAATTAATTTGCTCTTCATTAATTACTTATGTTCTTAAGTCCCTTTATTAATTTGCTCCAAAGCCCAATTAGGGGTGGGCATGGGTTGGATTGGGTTGGTTTTATTCCCAACTCATAACCCAACTTGATATATAGCTGTTTATGATTTTTTGGACTTAAGACCCCGTTCATTATTAAGCCAACCTAACTCAAACTAAACCTTTTGTAATTGGGTTGGATGGTTGAGTCAGGTAATTCAAACTTAAGTCTACTTTTAAGTTTTAATTCCAACACGTACATAATGGTTTATCATTTTTAGAACCTAAACCCGTTCATTTTTAAACCAACCCAATCCAACTCAGTATGATCGGTTGACCCACAATTGTGTCCACCCCTATGCCCAATAGTTTTCTTTCTAAATCTGTTTCGGACAACTTTTGGGCCTGATTTAAAGTTACTGGGCCGACCTCTGGGTCTCATTTCACGTTATTGGGTCGACTTCTTGATCGTCTTATGGGCATGATTTCACGTTAGTGTTCCTTCTTCGCGGTCTGATTTCACGTTATTGTGCCGTCTTCTGGGCCTGTTGTCATGTCATTGGGCTGCCTTGTCGGCTTGTTTACAAATTATTGGTCAATTGCGAATTTTTATTGTTGCACTTGCAGGCGAGTTATGACATGAATAATACAAAAGTTGAAAACTAAAAAGTTGAATTATACGTAAAAGATGCATTAATTTTATTTGAAAGGGCAAATGGATAGAGTTAAATGAGATAGGATAATAAAAAGCTAAGTGGGCCTGGGTAGAGGTCGAGATTGTTTGTTGAGGAGATGGGTCTTTGCGACCTCCGCAATGATTTTGAAGGGGTCGATAGACACAAGGGAGGAGGTGTTGGGAGCAGCGTCTTCCTTGACATCAAACTCAATTGTGGTTTTGATGATGCAGCAGCAGGAGGAATAATCAGCTTCTACTTTGTCAATGATTTCGAAGCGAACTCTGTAAAGGCTCAATCCAAACTCCAGAAGTCCACCTTCAATCACCTCTACTTCCTTGACCCGCTTTTCATGATCCACTTTTGTGAACTTTTCCTTATGCACACCAGACCCTGCCCAGTACTCCAATCAAAGCAATTTAAAATGCATTATTAATTCAGCAAACAAGTTTTGCATGTATTAATTGCCGCCTGCCTTGTCATTAAAAAAAAAAAAAAAAAAAAAGCAAGGAATTATTACCAGATGCAAATGTTACTTTGAGAATAGTGCCAACCCCTCCATCACCTTGTATGAGTTCAACTTTGTCAATCATATTTGGAAGTGCTTGTTCCACGAATTTTGCCAGTTCAAGTGAGCCGTAGAGATCCCATGCTTCGCTTGCAGACACGTTCACTTCCAACTCATGCAAAACTTGCCCAATCGCCATTTGATGATGATGAAGAAGATGATCTCTAGTCTAGGTACCTAGCCAGCTTGCTTAATTTCTCTCTTAATTTTCTCTGATATATATTAATTGCTCTGCTTGCTTGGTGATGGTTTCTTTATATGTGTGTGTGACTGTGTGCCACGTGTGATAAATTACAAGGTAAAAACGACAAGGTCTCTTATCTCAGAATATGTGTCAATATTCACATCACAAGATCCCTAAACCTGCTATCTATATATATACAAGGCTACTCTCTCTCTCTCTCTCTCTACCCCAAAACAAAGATAACTATATTTTTTAATGTACAGCCGGCGGGCATGTAATGTGTTTCATCGAACATATCTAATATGTGCTCAACTAAACAACAAAACAGACAGCAGTATTCACAATAGCTGGCTTTGCATAGCTTACCACTCCACTGCTTGTCTACTTTTTCTTTTATTTCAACGTTTATTATTATTATTATATTTTGTTTGCGAGGATCAGTTCAGTATCATAATTCTCTTTACATTCCATTTCAGCATAAACATAAATATTTTATGTTTTCCTTGGGGTATACTGTCCTGTGTTAATATAAAGATATGTATATCAGAGACATCTATGCTCTCAGTCTCGGAGACCAACAAGGACTCATAATATATTTAACGGAGTAAGGACAACTATGACTCTCTCTCTCTCTCTCTCTCTCTCTCTCTGCATTGCATTGTATTCGATCGGCCCCAAAGACCAAGTTAAGAAGATGCTTTATAAAGCAGCAAGGGATGCTTGCTTTATACAGCAGAAAGGCCGTCCCGTCGTCATGACCTCATGTCACAACATGGACGTTCAGCTGTCCATCGAATACGAATATGCCACAACAACAACATTCTGTGAGTTTTGGTATTTAAGATCCCTCAATATTCTGCACTTATATATAATAAAGGCGAGTTGATGGTATGTATAACGGCAACGCAAGCGTACGTCATCTATGGGCTATTGCAATTTGCAAGCATCCAAACAGTCGAAAGCAAATTCTTTTGCCATTCCATATATGACAGTTTTTTCACATGTCATTGTGTTATTGGTTGAGAATAACAAAATAATGATATTCCCGTTACAAGAAGTTTTTTTAAATCCTATGGGCGATTATTGTCTTGGATGGTGTTGTTTTTCATTTTCAAGGTAGGAAAGGAATATTACATTTCCAATTGGAAGTGTTAAGATAAATATGGATTGACTGAGCAAAATGGCATGGTTTGGAAATTGGAAAGTGGAAGTGGATAATGATGAAAGCTTTATTGTATTTCAAAAGAAGGAAACAAGTATAGATCTGACCAACATAACTCATGATAACATATCTACTTGTGTCAATGAAGCTGACTAAAGCATGCTTTATTTATTCCCATTCGCAAACTTGATATTTTGAGCAAAATCTGTTTTGTTTTACTCCGTCCTCACACTCACAGTATATCCACAAGACAAGACAAGACAAGATTCATTCAATAAGCATTCACTAATGTCAATATTATACTTACTTATGCCAAGACGAGGCTTTACCTTGCCGGGATGAATTTTCATACCTCCCAAAATGTTTAAATGTTACTGCATGCATGATGCATTGCTCCGGATTTGCTTTTAACCTTTGCTACCTAGTAGGCCATGGCGTTACGGAACATTCTTACCGTTACTTCAGAATTAACATCAGTGAGAAAAAAAAGCCGGCCCTTCTCCATCTTCTTCTTCTTTTATTGTTTATTATTATTATTATATTTATTCCAACAAATCCTTTCTACTTGGTTTTCTTTGGCCAGTCTTAGGCCTCCAAGAAGTTGAGGTATGAATTCTAGCTAGCCTCTTACTCACCGCCACCTGTACAAGTCCTTTCTCTCGATGGATCTGATCTTCTTCTTTAGCTTAAGTAGTTACAATTCATAGCATCTGCAAGCATGCATGCTATGAGTCTATGACATTGACAACAAGGACAGTCGTCATGAGTGTGTCAAACAAGGGTAATGGTTGCTCTGAAAAAGGCAGCGGATAGTTGAATTAAACGGCCCACCATTTTTTTGTACAATACCTTACTTATTACAAAACGTTACTTGCTTGAATATAAGTTTTACTTACTTTTGACTTTTGAATCAATTCAGTAGAATAATGTCAATATGGAAATTATTGTTGAAAAATATAAAGCGTGCGTCCAGTAGCAAAAAATGTTATTCCTATTATATGATCGATTCATGAAGAAAACGGAAGGGATCCAATGTCAAGCTCTGTTTTCTGCATTTTTTTCTTCCCCTTTCCCAATAATCAAGATTGAGAGAGCTTAGTTATTTCAAGACATCGTCATGCATGCATGCATCCATCCACAGAGACACAGTCACACACTACTCTATATATACTCCGTGTACATGTTATAATATTAATCACCAAGCTGCTAATTATACATCTACTCCAAGGTTTGAATATTATAACATATATTTGTATCGATCGACATCTTGTTTTCGCTACTTAACTCGTATATATTTGTTTATGATCTAGCTAGCTAGCTTGCTGGGCTAATTGAACTATATATACTTTCATATTATTCCTTTAATTAGTTTCCTAACTTTTTTTATTTTGGTGCAGAAGTAAAAGTAGTTGATTTTATTTGATCAATGATGGGGAGATCAGCATCAGGGTGGTGTGATGAAAAGAGCAGCTTAGTAAAGAAAGGGCCATGGACACCAGAGGAGGATGAAAAGCTGGTGGAATACATAAAAAGATATGGGCATGGGAGTTGGAGAGCTCTGCCCAAGCTTGCAGGCTTGAACAGGTGCGGAAAGAGTTGCAGGCTCAGATGGACCAACTATCTCAGGCCTAATATCAAGAGGGGAAACTTCTCCCAGGAAGAAGAGCAAACCATCATCAACCTCCATGCTCTTGTTGGAAACAAGTACGTTTATATAGCTAGTCTCTCTAGATCTATATAAACTTCTTCTGCTTCTTATTTTCATCTCTTTATCTATATATAAAGGTTTAACTAATTCATGTACGTACATACGAATTTATGATTAATTCAAAACGCAGATGGTCGGCCATAGCTAATAATCTTCCAGGAAGGACGGATAACGAAATCAAGAACTTTTGGAATACCCATTTGAAGAAAAAGTTGCTCCAAATGGGCATCGATCCTGTTACCCAGAGGCCAATCACAGCTAATAATAGTGATAATAATATTCATCATCTGTACTATCTCATGATCAATCATATTCTCTCCAGTTTGGCACCGCAGTTGCTTGCTTCTTCTTCTTTTTCTGGCACATGCGGCAGCTTGGCTAATAATAATTTGATAATGAATATGAATCCATGGGGCATTAATAATAATGCTGATCTCATGAGGCTCCACTACTTCGACGCCAAAATCCAAGTCCTGCGAAACATACTAGTACAACAATTCCTAAGCAGCACTAACACTCCAAATGTCGAAGCAACTTTTAATTATCTTTTGCCCTCGTATTCATCATCATCAGTTCATGATCATATTGATCATGAATATTCAAGAGTCAATATTAATCATAATAATTATTCTCCTCATCTCCAAGGTTTTAGCAACGGCGGCGCCCCAATTGGTTTTGTTCCACAAAATCCCACTCATGCTAGTGCTCAGCCGTCCAACTTAAATTCAAACATTTCAAGCCTACTCAAAGCTCTTCATGAGCTTGATCATAGCCAGCCGCCACGTGCCCCCCCGGTACTAGTACCGTCCAGCGGCAGCGGGAAGTCTGATAAATTATTGGGATATGATGATCATGCACCCTTCTTCTCTAGTACTACTGGCTCAAACAAGATTTGTACCAACAACAACAACAACAGAGATCGTAGCTCATCGTCATATGCAACTCCAACAGATGATCATGATCAATTACCACTTTTGGTCAGCTCAGCTGCACCCTCTCCCGAAAGTTCCGCTGCCAATCCCACTGTGGACAACAGTATCTCAAATACTACTTATTCAACCACCTTTGAAGCTTGGGGGAATCCTCCTGATCCTATGGATCACGACGATGAAGCAACTAATCACTCCTACTGGAAAGACATCATAATGGAGTAAGTAGTAATTAAGTAGCTCGATCGCTAGTACCACTTCTTTTTCTTGATGATTTCTTATTTAATTTTGTTCTAATATTGCTTGCTCTTAATTGCCTTTTTTTTTGGCTTCCTGAATTATGATGATCTAATAAGTTTTAAATTTGCAGCTTAGCATCTTGGCAGACATGGCCAATCCCGTAGAAGAGCTCTCTCAGTTTGATTTCAGACACGATATCTCCATTAATTAATACTAGTGTAGATCAAATCAACAAGTTACCTTATGGTTGATTAGATAGTTTCATTCATGTTGATCATGTAAATGTTTTCGTTTATTGCATTGCAGCATTCGATCAGCTTGAAGTGATTAGTATATATTTCTTTTGTTTTCTTTGAACTGTTCCAATTACCCTCCATGGCTCATTTAATTTTCCAAAGGAGCTCGAGCTAGAGGGGATCTTTTTGACAGACTGGTGATAGAGTTGTAGAGAGAGTTTGGAACTCGAAATTGACAAGCCAAAAAGACCCATGGCAATGGCATGACCATCTTCAAGTGAAAATGTGCGCGCTCTGACTGTTGATCTCGGACAAACTCATGTCAAACATCTCTAACGTACATGGATTGACCTGTCAAAGTAACTAACCTACCTACCCTTGCCAAATATGTATAGATTCCATTTCCAACCTAAGTTGTCATGCATGTCCTTTTGTTTTTCTTTTCCATTTTTGCACAGAGTTGTGATGCATGTCATGGCTCATGGGCATGACAATCAAACGAGACCCATCATACTTTAACGTGAATGTTTAATACAGAGGCATGGCCCATTGTTGAGGTTTGTTTACTTAAAAGCTATTTCCGATGGGCAACGGCCCATTATCTGCGGGAGTACAAATTGGTACAAACCTCAATGGCTTATATTATTATGGGTCACAGCCCATTATTTAGTTTTCTAAAACCAGCGAGATCAACCATACCAATTATTTTGAATTCCCGTTTGAGATCCCCCATTAAAAGATGACTTGTACTAATAACTGCAGGGGAGATCTCTAACAATTGTGGACTGCTTATTGAGAAGGAACGCTTCTACTTGTGCATTGAAATTGATCATTTGTGCCTTGGTTGGTTACAACTTACAAGTAAGTAACAGCTGCTTGCTTACTCTCCATATACAGACACTAGTACAGTACAGGGAAGGTATGCAGCTGCTGCCACTGATCAAACATTATTACTCTCTGAGTTTTAACTCAAACAAAACGAACAGTCTGTCTAAGTATCCAAATATCACCCATGCCATATATCATAATGCGCTCTACTGCTCTACTATATATATGAAATCAGAAGAAAGCCGAAGCCCTAGCTAGAAGAAAATCGGTTTATTAGCTAATCGCATCTCAAAAACAAACCCACCCAATAAGAGGGGTGGGAAGGAAGGAAAGCTTTTTCGTCACCAACATGGATAACCAATGAACCATAATAGCAGCACTGGCTCTGTTAGCTCAATGATCAATTCAAGAGCAATTCAAGAGTTAGGGTAGGAGCCGGAGGGAAGCATCTCCTCCTCCTCCTCCTCCTCCTCCTCCTCAGTGGTAGCTGGTTCCAGCTGGCGGTCCTTTTGGGTTGGAGTGGTAAGAAGAGCCAACAGAAACTTGGTCAAGACCTGCTCATAGGAGGGCAACTTGGCATAGCCAGGAAAGTAATTGATGTCAATGACAAAATAGGAGCGAGGGTTCCCAGAATCCCGAATCACATCAAAGTTAAAAAAGTTGAGTTTGAGGCCGAGGCGTATCCCCCTGGCCAGCTCCTCCACAAAGTCAGAAGGAGGCATTTCATGAGGATCATGAGCCAGACCCAGACCATGTTCGTCCTCCTCCTGAGGCTGAGGAGAATTCGATATCTGCGAAAACGGCAACACTTGCCCTTCCGATGCGGTCAGCTGCCGCTCTGAAATATCGGGCAAGGAGCTCCGCTTGACGCACTGGACGTATTGGCCAATGACGTAAACCTTGAAGACGACCTCACCGTGGTTCACAAACTGTTGAAGCAAAATGGGTTGGGTACTAGCACTAGTAGTGGTATTAGTGAGAAGAAGATTCTGCAAGCCCTTGGGGTCAAAAACCAAATACATCTCATGCGACTTGGCGCTGCCATTGGCCAGCAAGGGCTTGGCAATCACCGGAAACTCCACCGCACCATCATTAGTATTATTATGAATAGAATCAGGCGACTGGGGGTTTTGAAGCACCACCTGTTTAGGCACAGAAACAGAGATGTTAAATTGGGAATTCAATTTGAGGGCGCTGACGACTTGGAGCATGGAGACCCTGTTGTGGAGGCGCTCAATGGAGTCGGGCGAGTCAAGTATGAGAGTTTGTGGATACTTGGAGGAGTATTGCTTCAACTGGTGGTTCCAGCGGTGGCCGTAGAGCTTGTGGATGATGCAGTGGAATGGGCCTTGTTGGATCAAGGCCTCGGCCGCCTCCTCCTCCGACGAGGAGTCGGTTATTGAAATTGGGACGAAATCAATGCCGTTTTGGGAGGCATGGTCCAGGAGAGAGGGCTGGATGAAGCTCTGCTCCTTCTTGGGTGCAAAGGCGTACCCGATGCGGAACCGTTGGGCTGCTGCTGCGTCTGATGATGAATCAATTTTCATTTTCCTTTTGCTCTTTCTTTCTGTCTGTCTGTCTGCGTGTCTTCCTTCCTTTCTCCTAGGTTATATGGAGGGTTCGGTTCGGGTCTACTTCGACGGTCAACCGTCGAGGGAATCCGAATCGGATGCCAATAGAATAAAGGGTTGAGTAAGAAGAAAGAAGGAGGAAAGTGGTGGTCCTGTCCTGTCCTGGGCTGGGCTGGGCTGGGTGACTCATAGACACTGTTTCTCTTTTAAAGAAGGCTTTTAGGCATGGCCATGCTCATTCAGGTCGGTGAGTGGATCGGTGGTGCAAATTCTATAGTAAGTGTGATATATCATACATATATACTCCTCATGATGTGGACCTTCATATTATCATTTTATTAAACTTTAGTGAAATTATTATTCAGATAAATTATGTGACTAATATGAAGGTACACATCTGTGGTCCCTCACCAGAGACTATTAGCCCCCGTTTGGTCCATGGGAAATAAGACTTGGGAATGGAAAATCAATTGCTTTCCCATGTTTGGTAAGTTTAGGTATGAGAAATCGTTGTCTAACTTATGGGAAAGTAGAGGGTAAAGTGAAGTTATCCTCCCAACTTGTGTTTTGTTTTCCCTCCTCATAGGAAAATTTGGGAGAATGAGCTAACATTAAATACATGTTTTTTATGACCTCCCCTACTCCACACAGATTCCAAAACAAATCAGGAATCAGAATAACCTGCCTGCCAATTTCGGCCATACATGCATACTAGACTAGTAACTCTCTCCTCCTCAAATTCCATTCCAGAAACAAGTTAAGCCAACCAACCAGCCAAACGTACGTTAATAAAAACATCTCTCTGAGACTGACTATGAAAAGAGGAATCCATAAGAAAGAAAAGTGTTTTATTCTTCTTTTCCTTGTTTATAATGCAGTCTCATATCATATGTCACCCCTTCTAACGAAATAATAAATAAATCTCTCCGGAGTCCAGTTGGGGCGTGAGATGCAAATAGCATAAAGGGGTTCAATTTCCTGTCAAAACACGTGGTTTCAATTGGACTTGGAATCGGATTAGTGTTGTTCATTATAACATTGCACACACAAAATGAGACAAAATGAGGCTTGGAATCATTCCCCACACAAAATGAGACAAACAAATCAACTTTTTTTTCTTCTTCTTTTACCATATATTTCTCATTTTAGGTGAGGTGGGCGTAACGTAACCAATTGAACCCCAAATGCTGCACAACTAAAAATTTATCATCAATAGCACCTGAGTTATACTACAGTCCTTCCTTCAGCAGTTCGCCTGTACATGCAATCACTCTTTTAACTGACAAGGTAAAGTTTGAGTCATTGAGGGAGATGATTCTCATGCACATGTGTTGATGCCACATTATGGAACTGTGCTGCTGATGCAACATTTTGAAACATTGTCGACGGCACCGTGTTCCGCAACTGCATCGCCCTTGTGTCAGGGAGTTGCTGCCACATGTAACAAGCATCTATTACTCTATTTTGCTCAACTTCAAGCCCACCTGAATTTTCTTTTTGCCAAAATTACAAGTTCAATACAAAATCTCACCTTAGAGATCAGCATTAGATATTTTCAACTTACAAATGTTACACACGTAGGGAATTCTCTCACACACTAAACCATACTTGCAGTTAACTGCCTCACAGAAAAATGCTACACACGTATAATGATATCTTCAAATCAAAATTATCGGTGTCCATGATCATTCAATTTTGATTCAACTATTTACTAGATATAAAATGAAAAAAAAAAATACGTTACACTTAACATACATATAAGCATTGTTCAGTAACCCATCAAGTTTAAAATCTTCACCTCAAACATCCACCATCTAAGAAAAGGATACATATATTGCACATAGCATAAACATAAGCACTGTTCAATAAGTTAATAACCCATTGGGTTCAAAAGGTTTTCCTCAACCTGTTGGTATATCTACAAAAGGCTACAGAATCAAGTATTCTCAAGTCAATTTATCAAAGCATGTCAGGAATCCATGATGGTCAGTGAAATCCTGCCATCCTCACTTCTAACTTATGCTAGCAGTATTAGATCTGTGATTTAAACTATGCTCATAATTAGACCATGGCCCCATATCAAATCCATGTCCAGTATTAATGTTATCTTGTTTTTGGCACAGCGAAGTCTCTTGATTGGAAAGACCACAATCTTCAAAAATCATCAGTTTTCAGAGTGGAACCATATTTAGGAATACCTCTGTTAAAATTTCCCACAATTTACTACATCCAAATTAAATCAGAAAAGGAAGCAAGCACCCATAACTAAACTACTATTAGGATGAAAGCATGACATACCATTTGGTGAAAGCCGTCTTGTGTTCCAACACTCGTAGCTTCCAGCTGAGGTACCTGTTATGCCAATTAAGCAAACCTGAGCCATCAGTAGTTTTCTTTCACATTACATGACTCATTCATGTATTAGATTCAAAACTATATTTCAAATGAAAACCAAAAACATAAAAACAAAAATTGACCATATATAAACCGCCACCATCAGGTACCTTTCCTTTCTTGCTTGCAGTGTTCTCATTCCTAGCCACCTCCTTCCCAGACCCAGCTCTTCTAGGAGTCTCGTTGGCATTACTCACTTTAGGACCAAACAACTTGTCACCAGATGCTGTGCCGCATTGATTCTCTTCATCAACACCGCAAATACCATGTATTGCTGAGTCATTAGGTTTTGCATTGTTCTCAACAGCATTGTTCAAACTTGCACATTGCTTCAAAGCTTCTTTTATGGCACATAATGCTACATCATAACTCTCTTGAGATAGTGACCCTTCCTCACCCAGTATTATAGCTCGTCGACATAAATCATTGTAACGACGGACTTTAGACTGAACCTCATCCAATCTTTCGCCAATGGCATGCCTGCTCATAGCAGTATTTGTCCATCGTTGCAATATATATTTGGAAGGGATTGTGAAAACACCAGACATTTGAAGAACAACAATAGCATGTCTACACAGATAGCCTTTATATTCAAATGAGTGGCAAGAACAATATATATCTGATTTTGATTCATTCCACTCCACTACATAATTCTGATTGTCTTCAAAGTCTTTTACACTGTATGTTGTCGACGTGCCATCTTCATTTTCTTTCTTAAGATGACAAGCAGCTGCACCCAGAACCTCAACTTGGAAGTTTTTGAAAACCTCGTGCGTGTACACTAGTGACATTTGTTTCTCAAAAGGTGATGGAGACTTCAACTCAGGTGTTTCATGCCAAGCATCAAAATTTGATTTTGCTTCCTCTTCATACCTATCTTCAAGAATTACTCTGTATCTTTCCATAAACTCACGCAGTGAAGTTTCCCCGTGAATATATTTGTCAAACGAGGAGTTGAGACTTTCTGACCGTGAAGTTGGAGACAGCCCAGCAAAGGATATATCTCTCATGAAAGTAGGCACCCAATGAGTACGATCTTCATACAAGGACTGCATCCATTCAACCTCCCTGAGATTAAATCTATCAAGTAGTTTCCACCATCTCTTTTCAAATTGTTGTTCTGACCAGGACTTAAAAATACACTTATTAAATTTTCCCACAAAACTATCATGCCACATGCTCAAAAACTCGAGATGCCTATGTATCTTCTCCATTATATGCCATAAACAAAAGCAATGGCTTGTGCCTGGAAATACTGCTGCAATAGCTGCTTTGATGGCGTTGTTCTGGTCGGTCAGTATTACTCGTGGAGCCTGTTCCCCCATTGCTATAAACCAGGTTTGCATTAGCCAGACAAAAGTATAAACTGTCTCATCTGCAATCAATGCACAGCCAAGTAATGTGGGTTGAATATGATGGTTCACTCCTATAAAAAGAACCAAGGGTATTTTATACTTGTTAGTGAAGTATGTGGTGTCAAAGAAAACAACATCATTGAAGTTAGTGTAATCTTCCATTCCTTTGGCATCAACCCAGAACACATTTCTCAACCTATGCTCTTCATTTAGATCAACTGCATAGAAGAATTTTGGATTCTCTTCCTGCATGCACATAAAATATTCAAGTAGCACTTGAGCATCCCCTGCTTCTAAAACCAAACTCCGTCCCTTGTCATGCTGATTTCTCAAGTAACTCTCTAAACAATCAACATTTTGATAGGCACTGAAGAGGCTGGATACTGCAGCTAAATTCTTCCGTCTCCGTATTCTAACATCATTGTTAAGCGGGTCTGTATTTCTGTGGCTGCGAAAGAAATGTGCTTGAGCTGGTAAGAGCTCATGGTTGTGCTCCTTTACGAAACTATAGACATACCAATTACCATTTGGCCTGCGCTTCACATGCATGCTTGCCTTGCAACCAATTTTCGGAGAAGGTCGAGGATTAATGGCATCATCAGACTGTTGCTTATTGCCATATCTAATGCATGAAAATTTGGCATCAATGAATTCCTTGGATGCTCTAGACCGACGGCTGCTCAACTTAGCAGTGCCGAAGCCCACAGACTTGGCATATGCTTTGTAAAATGTATACGCGGCTTCATGGGATTCAAACTCCATGGCATCATGAGGCTCTAGAGTTGAAGTGGCCATGAGGGTGAGGGTATTAGAATCCATGAGGGTTGTGGGAAAATTCAAATCCACTCTGCATCCACCATGCACTTCACCTTCAAAAGCGCTCGCAAAGGATCTAAAGGTTTTCATAGGTCCCATAAACATTGACCACAAGCTTCTCCCATGGACATAAATTAAAATTTTGGCTCGGTGTTCCCATTACCAAGGCAGCCTGATGCAGGATATGATATGATACAGTGGTGTGTACAAACGTGCGAGCAAGAATTTTACTAGTTATCTGATTCTCAAGTAGATGAAGAGATGTACCAAATAGGAAGTGATCAGTAACCCTAAAGTGAAGAAGAAAGTGGAAGCAAACACACAGAGATGATGAAAGAATATACTTCTACTCACTCACTTTGCTTATTGCTAGAGAGATGAGATCCACTGGACTTGAGCTAGCTAGGGTTTCAAAACTTTGAACATGGAAGAGATGATAAGCCCTTCTTCTTCTTCTTCGCCAATTTCTCATTCAGGCAAGCAGCCCCCCTTTCCTTTGAGATTTTTACCTTTTTTCTTTCTATCAATTTTTTAAAACAATCAAAAACTGAAATGGAAGGTGAAATTTGCTGAAATTATCCAATTTTAAATTAAATTTTTAATTAACAAATGAACAGTACAGAGAGTCGAGGCCCGGACTTGAGCAGGACATGATTTGGCCCAATATGGCAAAAGGCCCATAAAGGCCACGTCACCGCCATTCCATTCCACAGCGGCACAGTCTCTCTCGCTCAGACACCGGAGACGGAGTCTCTGGTGGCGTGGCGTGGCGTATAACGGTATATATAGGCCCAATTGATAATTGATAGCTCATCAGGAAGAGATTCAGAGAGAGTTAGTGAGGATGAAGAACTTCAAGCCCTTCTTCGTTGAAAGCTCATTCGCTCGCTCACGCCCAACATCATCCAACCCTTTCTTCCTCTCCTCCCAACGCGTCAGTCTCTCTCTCTCTCTCTCTCTCTCTCTCTCTCTCCCCATGTATTACACACAGTATTATTTAAATTGATTCATTTATTATTGCTTCTTTTCTTTTTACGTAATGGAAGGAAATGGCTTTCTGAGCTGAGAGCTGACAGTTATTTCTTTGTTTGGAAACTATAGTGCGAGTTTAGGGGGAGGGGAGGGGAGGCGTACGGTACCTCCTTTCATATCATCATCTGTTCTAATGATAATTGAACTTTGCAGAAGTTTGCAGCTTCAGCCTCAGTATCCCAAGACGAAGGTGAAACAGTTGCCTTTCCTAATTCCTAGGTGATAATGTCTCAATGCTTCAATGTCTCAATGTCTCAATGTCTCAATGTCTCGATGTCTCAATGCCTCAATGCCTCAATGCCTCAGCTCACAATACTTCTATCATTTGTCACAGACTCACAGACAGACCACTTTTGGTATTGCCTACTACCATCTTCTTTTTTGCAGGGAGGGTTATTGATTATTCTTATGGCCTTAACTTGGCTTTGGCTGGAAAAGGTGTAATTGTCAAGGACCAAGCTTTTCTAAATTTGAACTCCTCTCAACTACAACACAAGGGTGCAACAATTGCAGGCATACTTTTTATGACCCTATCAGTTTAATATCAATCAATTAATATCAGTTGTTACATTCAGATTCAGTTACTTTAACTTTTTATTCCCCTTTTGTTTCCCTCGTAGAATCATTGTCAGGGCTTCCGCTTCTTGTTAGAGGACATGTCCCTGGAGGAGGACCTTCTGAAATTTCCAAGCCACACTTCACTAAACTTTTAAAACAGGCACGTTTAAATTTTTCCCTTTCTTCTTTCTTCTTTCTATTTTCTTGCTCGCCTTACATTTTCCACCATGTTTATTTCTCCATGATGTTTATTATACTGTCTTTTATTTTATCTTATCAGGTCACAAATCATATATCATCCATCTCAAACATTTTTGTTCATGACGGGGCTATTGGTTCATCACCAAAATGTGATGTGAAAGTTCGTTTAATAAGTGATAGTCCGTCTGCGATGCTGTCACTATCCCATATGCTCTGGGAGACTCCCACCCGTGCAGTTTCTCAGGATTCATGTCCTTTAACAGTTTATGTGGCTACTTCTATAAGGTAATACATTTTCATTGCCTAATATGTGTCTTGTCAAATAATTTGTGTAACCAACTACAACATGCATAAATTTCTTATGCAGTCAATTGCTGACATATTCTCTCTGGACTAGTTTTTGTTCTTATGTTCTAGCTGCTAGAGCTTTAGCAGATCATATCATTTTATGAAATTTATTACTCTAAATACCTATCCAATTCGTACTTTTGATCTTGCAGTCCAGGCATTGGGGAAAGCATTGGCCTTGGATCCAAAGAAAATGATGGATTCATAGCTGCTGATATTGAGCGCTCATCACTTATTTTATGTGGTAAAGCGTTTTCAGATTCAAATACAACTAAAGAAGCACTAGCTGCCTTGTCTGGGCCTGTTATATTTGCAAGAGGAGGCCTTCCATTATCTGCAAGGTATAGTTCTCTGTTCTTTTGTTGAGCATTGTAGTTTTTATTTGTATGGCATGGGTGATTTACACTGGGAGGTTGCAAATTTTCAGGCTTTTAGTGTCTGGTGATTCTGTGGTTCTTTTATTTGCACCCAAAAGGACCTTTAAGAGTTGCAGAGATCTGTTGGTGCCTTCAGATGCAGGTGTAATTCTTTCTTCTAAAGGTCTTGCCTTTTTGTTTCAAACTGGTGGATCAAATCTATTCAAATTGCCAGCTTCTGTATTCCTTGCATCTTCTGACAGGTAATAGAACCCTGTAGTGATAGTGAATCGTTTGAATTCTTTTTGGCATGTATAGAATAGGTTTGGCTGTGCTGGCTCAACTGTTATCCTGTGCATATCACTACACCGTGAATTGATTCTGTCTTCGAAATGGCTTTTGGTCGTAGGTGTCTAAAGAAGGATAATGTTAGCTGAAGTTGTAAATTTGTGTTTGACATCAACTGGAACTATTACTTTTCCTTTATGATGTACTTTTATTTTCTGTCAAAAGTTGTGTTTTGTTCTCGCTGTTCATTTCTGAGTATGTTGTTGCATATCAGTAATTTGTCCGAATAATCCACACTGCTTCCTTTTCCTAATGTGTCATGTGTGTAAAGAACTTGCCTCATCTTTTTCTTTTTTTCCCACTCTGTAAAAGCAGTTCTGGTGTTATCCCTTCTGTTTCAAAGCTCTCCCCTGGCCAGGCAGCTTATCACTTCTTGGCTGGTTATCAGAATGGGAAGTTCATACCTGCATACAACAAAGGCACTTGGTCCATTGACCCGTTGGAACTAGCTAAGGCGTTTCTGTCCAAGGTCAATACTAAAACTAATTGTTTCTTGAATATTATGCTTTGGTAATATCTTGTTATACATTTATCATTTATGTGGACAATTTATCTTTCTGCATGGTTCTGCAGTTGAAAGATGACCAGATCTCATCTTACTTGTTCAATGTCGATGGAGGAGAAAATAATGTAAATGGTAAGAGAAATTGGGACGAATTCAACTCTCTGTTGGATAGGTCAAAAGAGCGAGCCGCTTGATATAGTTACTCAGTTTTCATTGGCATCCTAGAAATCTTTTTTTTTTTCTTTCTTTCTTTCTTCTCCCTGCCTGTTGTGGGTTTGTGTGGCTTATCTTCTTATACGTGAACTAAAGAGTTTCTAGACTTAAAAATGTTGTTACTCTTTGCTTTTTTAGATTTTATTCAACTTAGTCCATTTGCTGATATCTATATTTATATATCAGGCAAGGATTTTGCTAAGGTGGTACAATCAACGTTGTCCGAGAACATCCCACCATTTCAAGCTAAAAGTAACCTCGTGACCCTTTTATTTTCCTCCCCTTGTTATTTGGGAAGAATATATATATATATATATATATATTTTATGTGGTATATAATGTTAACTTAACTGGTAATATTGGAATACATCGTTCCCAGGTGGGGGGGATCTTGAAGAAAAGTACAAGAGCTTCCTGTTGAGCAAATTTCCAGACTTGCCAGAGGAATTCTCGTTCTAAGACATTAACACTTCGCAGTTGCGTTATGAATTTAAACATTTTCCCTTGAAACGTTTGCAGTTGGAAGACACAACAGAGAGGTTGAACAACAAACACACTGAAGAAACTCATGGTGGACTTCGACAGTCGTCTTCAAGTCCACAATTAATTTGAATCCGATTATGCTTCTCACTCTTTTTCTTTTTCAAAATCTTGCATGCTTAGGTTTATTTTACCTCAGGCCTTGACCCCAATGCCAAAAGAATGGTTAATTTAATTGTTGTATTTATTTATTTATTTTGTGTCTGATAATTTAATTGTTGTAGATCTAAGATTAAGAGGACTCTCAGTCGTTAACTTGCACATGACAAAATGCCAAAATATGTTTGTCATCCCTCCCTACTAACAATTTAACTTAACCCATGATTCATAATAGTTTTAAGACAGTAACATAGTAATCTTATGTTCGTCATTCAGTTTCCGTATCTACATCACATCGCATATACAAAACTGAAAGACATACACAACTACTGTTTAGATAAACCCACCTGCCCCACCAAATATTAATATTAATTAATAATGGGCAGGATACCCGCAAGTACCCGAACATGTGGGTTCGGTATTTTACACACACAGAATTAAGGCTACATGTCGCAACCTGCAGTGGTGCAATGTATAATCTCAGAAGGAATAATCTTTAAGCACTCAGTGACATAGAAACAATCGAAGAGAGCTTAAACTTGCGGAGTTTATCAGAACTTTCTGGCTGAAAGAGAACCTCTGTACTCGACCTTACAGTTACTTCCTTCCACTCAGAAGCTGAAGCTCCTTCGCTACGATAATCACGAGGAGAGTACAAAACTTGAAGCCTTGAGGGGGCTGCCAAAAATAAGAGGGCCAATTTATAAACTTATATGCCTATATCCAATGTCTACTATTATAACGATTATAAAATTCCAAGTTCCCAACCTAATCAGGATGCATCATTTATCATTTTATACTAGTTAAGCTTAAGTAATACTCAGAAGTGAGAAAGATTATAACTCAGGGGATTACCAAATCCAAGCATGCTCGTCTTTTGGACAACAAGGCGGCTAATTTTTGATCTTTTGATATTTCTCAAAGCCTCGACATCTTCCTGCTTACCCTTAAATTCCAGAAACTCCCCAAGAACATACTTATTACCTTTGAGCTCCAACCTGCAGGCCAATCATGAAACAATTTTTGTTTTTTTCAAGTGGCAGCCAATCTGCTACTCTAGGAACCAAAGAAATAAAAACACTAAACAGCAACCACATAAATGAATTCATTGTATACCAAACAGCCTAGTTCCCTGTGATTCCAACTTGTATGACAAGGAATGGCTTAATAATTACCCTCAGCGTAGTTGAGGAGGCGCCTAATCCCAAGTGACTTCATCTCAGTGAAGATTTAGATGACTTTGTAGTGGATTTGTTAGATGACTTCTATGTATCTGCTTACCCATATATCTACTTATAAGCATGTGTGGGTGTCTGTGTGTCTGTGTACTGTGCATATCAATATTTTACGTCAGATTAGAACTGAGTTGGCTTCACCAAGGCCTCAAAGTTAAGTAGCAAGCATTCAAAATAAATATGGCAACGAACCTATCCCACATTGGAGCCGTACTAAGGATGAAATTAAGCTTCTGATGTATAGATTCTTGCATCTCTTTCTTTCCACCATGGAAGGCACCCTTAATCCAACCAGAAAACATACTTTTTGGTTCTGGTTTCAGCTGTAACCACTGGTCATGGGTTACGACTTCTGATGGAAAATTGCTTGACTGAATGGTACTGCAAGAAGAAAAAAAATATGTGTGCGCAAATGCAGAAATGTTAGTAACAACAGAACTAATTAGATCCCACATCCTCCCTAAATGTTTTTCTTAAAGACCATCTGCAATACATAGCTTTACTTGTCAAGACTTTTAAACCACATATATCCTACTCCTACATGTCAACAACTCTCAAGCACCTCTCTCTGATAGTGTTTTAAAATCCTCCAATGGGGAAAGAAGACAATGTGCTGCCTTATGAACAACATCAAATATAGATTCTATGAATATCTCGATTGCTAAATGAAGATCCCGTTGCGCATAAGTTGGAGATGAGAAGACCAGTGGAGAGAAAAGAAATGATGCATGTGCTTTGCAAAATGGTACATAAAGTACTCTATGCAGATAACTCAATGATGCTCAATCACGATCACTAGTAATATTCAAAGAGAAAAAAAACAGGGCAGTAGCTATGTGGATGGAAATTGTACTGAGAAGTCCAAGTAAGAATAAGTAAGAGCAACAAAGAACAGATCTTATGTTGCATCCAAAAGATGAGAGGGATAATCGCAAGACATCCACTGGTTATCTAAAGACCAGAACAAACCATCACAATTTTCTATCAGTTAAATGCGTATAGAGTAATAATAATCAAATCATGAGAAAACTCCAGAACGTACCAAACTTTAGGATTGGAAAGAATTACTTTGCAAGACAAATATCCTTCTGGTAAAGCAACTCCTCTTTGTTCTAGATACGACTCAAGAATCGAAGCTTGTTTTTTAGTCTCCGCCACCTGAAAGGTATAACAATTGAAGAGACATAAGTAAGGCCAAGTTCCCAATTTCCCTTTGTGTGTGTTTTTGTTTTCCTTCGCCCCCCATAGATATGACTGTAAATGTAGTAGTGCATTATCTGGCAAACCAAATAGAAGTGTATCGAGAATATCCATGAGATGTCTACGAAAATGGAATCTATACAGAAAAGGAATCAAGAATGTATAAGTGCGTGCATTGGATAAGTCACGAATTTGTGAGTGGAAAAATAAGTGTTGGAATAATTGCCCTGATTAATGCTCACCTATATTACCGTTGGACCAAGGTTCTCAACTATACCATTATATTGGAATTGGAAGAGTCTTCTTGGGACTGCATACTAAGAGTGTTTTGCATATATATATGTACTACTGAACCTCTTGTAATTCTTATGATGAATAAGAGCAAGCAACCCTCTTTCAAGTGGACGTAAGCTATATCAAGTAGCTGAACCACTATAATTCTGTGTGTCTTATTCTCCTTATTTCTCCTTATCTATTTCTTGAATAAGTGAGCATAACACTATCTGAGTAGGCAGCAAAAGCAATGAACATGAACATGCTAGGAGTAAGACTTACAGGATCAGGATGGTGCTCCGTTTTGCGTTTACTGTAGCCCTCACAAACCCAGCTGCCATCTGGATTGACTGAGATCAATCCTGAGAAATTCTTGACGGCTATCACCACTGCCTCCCTTTGATTTTTATTTTATTTTTTATTTTAATTGAAAAACAAACCAACAAAAGCAGGAACAAGCAACAGATTGGTGAGGATTTTATCGTCTAATCTAATTAGAAAAAAGGCATAAAATAGAAGGAGAAAGAGAAGGATGTTGATAGACTACCCTTTGGAGACGAGAACCAAATCGATATTCTGAGGGGTAGCGGTATCAGCATCGGGAATCCGGAGGCCCGCATAGACCTTGCCGCCATAAAGCTTGACAAGCCTCTCGCCGACGGAGAAGAGAGCCTTAGAATCAGAGGTCTCCACGTCCAAAACGTCGTCGTCGTCGGAGAAGAAGCACCTATACAACCTGTATATTATCAGACCGCAGATGATCTCTAACCACATCCTCCTTTTTCCTTGATGATACTCTCTGGATTTGACTAATCCAATCCAATATTACAAAGAGTACTTGTAAATTTCTTCGGGTAGATATATAATATATATATATGAATTTTTCAGTCCTTCTTTTATCTGATTTTAGTGAAGGAAGAATCAAAAGTACGAATCTGAGGCCAATGCCATCCACTCTCAACCCTCCTTCCTCCTGGTTAGAGAATAATAAAAAAAAAGGACTAATGTGGTAATTAAATGTGTAGGACCGACCCACCAAGGAGCCGGAGAGAGAGATGCTTGCTTAACGCGCTCTTTTTTCTTTTCTTTTCTTTTTCATTTTTTTTTTCATAGAGGATTGCTTTATTATTTGCTTGATTTTGAAGTTTGGGCCGGCCCACTTAGAGTTGGATGAACTTCGATGAAAAAGAAAGGAAATATATTGCAACTATAAAGGTCTATATCTATGATCCATATAACACCCTCGCTATACCCTCGCTATAGAAAGACTTTATGATTACAAGCTGCAGCTGCAGCAACCCAGTCCATGAAAAGTGGGTGTCATTTTTCTTTTTTCAGCTCCTTCGCCTTGAAGATACAAACTACAAAGAACAATGATATATTTATATATCCCATTTGAAATAGATGAAAGCACATCAAGATACAAGCTCATGTCACCACTCCCTTTCATAAGATCTATAGATTGGATGGGAAAAGGAATGGAGAAATGAAGGGGAAAATAAAAATCTCCATCACATACAAGATACTGTCCAGATAGGAAATCACAATTAAAAAAATAAAATAAAAACCCTAACCATAATACAAACCTCTTCATTTTTAACCTATTCTGAAAGCCATACTCCAAAAAATAGAAAATCAAACACATTTAGGTGCAAAACAATATCCAGTAAACATGCCTGTCTGCCTGCCTGCCTGCTAGTTGGGCACAAGTCGGGCAAAACTGGTCTCTCTACTTCTGGTTGCTTGTGCTCTTCTTCTTGAGTAGACTTCCAAACTTGCGGAGTAAAGGCTTCTTCTTCTTCTGTTGCTGCTGCTGCTTTGATGGAGAGATTCTGCCATCATCAATGCTTTCGGTTGAAGTAACTCCATTAATCTGATCCAACCCCTCCTCACCACCCCCCACCTTTGAGTCCACTTCCTCTTCAAAGGATTCCTGCTCTTGTTCCCTCTCCGGCGAGAATTCCTTCTTTTCAATCTTGCAGCTCTCCCACATCTTATATTCAACTTCTACAGAGTCATCCTCTTTCTCTTTGCTCTCATCTTCTTTTGGTTTCCCATTCAGAGTATCAACTTTAGCAAAATCCACTTGTTCGGCCTTGTCATTCATGACATTATTATTCTCTGGCCATGAATTTTCCCTTTTGGGTTCCTCACATTGATTTGGTTGAAGCTCCATTTTGGGTTTCTCCTCTCTTCCATGCCCATTCTCTTCAGAGAATTCAACTACCTTTGGAAGCAAATCATAGTCCTTCTCACTATCTGTTAGCTCACCATTTTCCTCGGCTTGCTTCTTGGCCATGGCTTCATCAAGTAACTTAGACAACTCCACAACCTTTGTAAGAGAAGCAGCCTCCTTGTCTCGGAGCTCCTCATTCTCTTGAACAATACATTGGAACTCATTTT